GCATTAACCTGGTGTATCTTTTGCTTCACAATCGCTGCCTCTTTAAGAGCGGATGTCAGTAAATATCGACCAGAGGTCTACAAAGTGAAAAATCGAAAATTCTCAAAAAAATTCACAAAGTAGCACTAGGTAAGCTATTAACATAAATGTAATTTTTACTTCGATCTGATAATCATTTTCCACGTACGGGGGGGTTATTGGTTTCGCGGCTCTCGGACCGGGTTTTCCAGGCCCGAGACCATGTGTGGCAAAAAAATCGTATTAAAATTCAAATCCATTCTAATGCGGACAACAAATAACTTATGCAGAAGAGTACTTAATTGCACACATTCTAAGTGGTAATTTACTCAGTTTGAACGAAAGTGTAATATTTAGGAGATTTTTCATTATTTTCAATATTTTGAACGTTTTCGTTCAATGAAAAAATGGCAAATTTCAAAGCCCAAAATCGTCGACTGGTACCTCGATTTTAGTATCGAGTCTTATACCATGTTAAAGAACGTTATCTCTTCTTTCAAAATCTGTTTTCAAAACTACGGGCAACTTAAAAGAAAATGTTTGAGGCCAAAAAATACTAATAGTACTTTTCTGAAATTTGAGCTTTCCAGACTCAGCGGGTCGATGCTTAAAACTCAGAAAAATGCAATAAAAAATCAGTTTGAGCAACAGCGATTTAACGTTATCAGCTATCAGAAACCAACACGTGTTTATCGAGCGATCTGATAAAATTTAAAGCCCTTTTCCAACAAGAAAAGCAGAGTTTAGCCATCTTCTGCTACCAAACGCACGTGTCACGTAAGGTTGTCAAAGGGCAAAGCACAATAATAAACTTCAAAAAGCACAACGTTTCTGCGTCCAGGAATTAGACTTTAGCGGACAGAACAATGCCTACGAGTGTATGTTTCATACCTTAGCATGGTTTTCCTAGATACTGGAAGTAAAAAACATTAAGGACAGCATCGGCAAGAGCATCTTCGGCTGCTCTCAAACGACGGAGATTGCGTTACTTTTCACAGATTGACCGCTTACCACCTGTCTTTGGGCTCGCATTTCGACGGAACGCTTGCCTCGAGTGGCGCGGGGCACGGATCTGAACTCTTCTTCACGAGACATTGAGCTGACTTTATCGGAAACATGCCACCACCACCAACAACATGAGCTTTTTTCGGGTATTTGTCGTTTTTTATGCGAAAAGTTCGGGTAAGCAGATTCTCGCAAAAACCATTTGGCTTAAAAAATGTGTTTAGAAGCCCACCCTGGATTTGAAGCAAAAAGTATTTCCTCGAAATAAGCTAAAAATACCCAATTCACGCGGTGAAAACTTGGATTATTATGGAAGGATTATCGAATTTTTGCCTAACCTGAGGAATTTCCAGTGATGTAGGATTAGGGCTAGGAAAAAAGCCTATAACCTGCTCCTGTCGTTGTGGATTTCCTCAAGATCAAACATTCCAGTAAGAACCAAAAACAACAGCTTAAAGGAGGTGCACACACCTTGAACTAGCCAGGGAAAAGGGGCTTCGGATTGAGCTACACTGTCATTGATGCACGGTGCAATTAGGTAGACCTGTTACTATCCCCCGCGCAACCACATCGGGAGTACTTTGAAGCGGTCCTGTCGGGGACTTTCTGGGGTAGGGGGCGGGGCAAATCGAAAATAACTTCTCTTTGTTTTTATGAAGTACATCATTTCTCGCCCGGTTGACAAGGTGACGGCGGACTCCGTACCTTTGGAAAGGCCCTTTTGAAACATGTCCTGGCAACATGCAGGGCATCACGAAATTAACGTCAACACCTTGAATCAACTCCATGAACAGGGAGAGGCGATAAGTCACATCTTAAAAGAAGCTTGATGTCTAGACGTGAATAGTCTGTCCACAGTCATTTTTCATTTTGTATTTCGAGACCATTTGACAGCGTACGAGTGAACCGGAGCGCAGTAACGAGCCCTAACTCCACCCCATTGCCCTTGCGGTCAATAAATCATCGCGTTTTTCATTTTTTTATGCGCGTTCGAGAACCTCCAAAGGGAATATTGAGGGTCTTTGTGCAGTTTCAGTTTATTTTACCGACAAAAAAGAACAAAACAATAAAGCAAAAGACAAGTATACAGAAATACGCAGAAGCAATGTGTTGAGGAAGCCCAAAAAGAAACCATAAGGCTTAGGTCATCCCCTTTTCGTTCGCTTAGCGTCGAATAGGTTTCCTGGTTTTGGGTGGGTCGGTCGATGGGGTGAAAAAAAAAATCACAGGAAATCTGAGAACGGGAGGCCTGAATCACCAGCATCATTGCCGTGGAGACTTAAAACAACAAGACATGGTCACCAAATCGACACAAATTCAATATGGCAGAAAATTTGATGGTCAATTTCATAAAAAAACGCCCAAAAAGGGTAAAAAGCAAAGAGGATACACCACCGAACGTTTTATGCCTCGAAATGATGTTATAATGCTAATTTTTTAGATTAAAAGAATTAATCTAAGTCCAAAAAAAAAAACCTTGTCGTTTCTTTTTCTTGCTTTTTTTAAAAAATGCCAAAAAAAAATGGGTCTTTTGGACGACACTAAACGAAGAAAAAATTAATATAGGTATTAAGCTCCCTTAAAGCATAAAAGTATAAGTTTACAAGGACAGGATCGAACGTATACTGAGTAACTAAATGATAAAAATTTGATCAAAATTAAATGAAAGGCTAAGAGCCTAAGCGCTGTCTGATAACGAAACGGTAAACAAGAAGTGCTGCCTCTCATTTAAAAGAGACGTGAAATACTGGGTGGACCACATCCTGAACTCCCGAGAAAACCGCAAGAGGGGAACGCTCAGGGCTAAGGAGACTAAACAGGGGCGTAGCTACTTGTACGCACGGTTTGCACGTGCGTACCCGAAAACGTTGAGGAAAAAAAATAGAATGAAATAAACATAACAAAAAAAAATCGGTTTCCAGAGAAGCGACGACATTAATTGGAGAACCGAATCTTGGATGATTTATTTATATAGCAACCTTGATGATGTAAAGCGTGAACGCGTTGTTTTCTCCACGACCTGTCTTCGGAGTAGACGAAGTAGGGCACAATTACGTCAATGTGTGGTGCTTTTGTCGGTCAAAAATAATGTGACAAAAAGGGGTAAAAAGAGTCATTTGTAAACTAAAGTCGGAGGTACTACAAGCTTGATTTTTAATAGCTGAATTAATGATAAACGGTTGACGTCAATGAACATAACAAGCCGACAGAATTAAAGAATTTTAGAGGTTGTGTCATTTCATAAACAGCAAAAATGCTTTTGCTTACAACTGTTAACCCCACCTTTAATAAAGGCACCTTAAAAAAATGTTGAGATTAGGGGTGGGGGGGGGGGAGGGGAAGAAGATGTAGAAAAAGTTGGGCGTACCTCCGGAAAAATCCTGACTACGCACCTCCTAAAGCCTGAAACTGAACAACAGGAGTCTTGACGAAACGTCCTCAGTTATCACCTGTCCGGGGTCGTACTTTCATGGAAACGCTGATCAAGAATCACTCATGACGGAATGAAAACTCCTCGTAGCTTCCAGCGTAAAAAGGAGTGACAACAGTGGTAAGCGGTCGTTTTGTGAAATGTAACGCAATCTTTGCCGTTTACGATCTTTCGGCGCTTGGATTTGAAACGTTTTTGTTTGGTATGTCCTCCCGTGTGGATACTCGACATTTCCAATATATGGAAACACCATGCTAAGGTACGAACAACAGACATTCACAACATTGTTTTGTACGCTAAAAGCTGATTTCATGGACGTAAAACGTTTTGAATTTTTTTTAGTGCTTTGCCTTCCCTTTGACAACTTCACGTGACTGGTGCACTTGGCAGGAGTTGACAGCTTAAATCTGCCTTTCTTGATAGCAAACGGCATTAATTTATATCAGATCGCTGTATAAACACGTCTTGGTTTCTGAAAGCTGATAACATGAAACCACTATTGCTCAAACTGATTTCTTACTGTATTTTTGCAAGTTTTTAGCATCGGCCCGCCGCGTCTGGAAAGCTAAAATTTCAGGAAAGTGCTACTTGTATTTTTTGGCCTCAAAAATTTTCTTTTAAGTTGCCCGTAGTTTTGAAAACAGATTTTGAAAGAAGATATAACGCTCTTTAACATGGTATAAGACTCGTTACTGAAATCGAGGTACCAGTCGACGATTTTGGGCTTTGAAATTTGCCATTTTTTCATTGAACGAAAACGTTCAAAATATTGGAAATAATGAAAAATCTCCAAAATATTACACTTTCGTTCAAACTGAGTAAATCACCACTTAGAATGTGTGCAATTAAGTACTCTTCTGAATAAGTTATTTGTTGTCCACATTACAGTGGATTTGAATTTTAAAACGATTTTTTTGTGACACATGGTCTTGTGCCTGGAAAACCCGGTCCGAGAGCCGAGAAACCAATAACCCCCCCGTACGTGGAAAATAATTATCGGATCGAAGCAAAAATTACATTTTTGTTAATAGCTTACCTAGTGCTACTTTGTGAATTTTTTTGAGAATTTTCGATTTTTCACTTTTGTAGACCTCTGGTCGATATTTACGGACATCCGCTCTTAAGACACTTAAGATATAAGTGCGTTTACCGTGAATGTTTGGTTTTGTAAATGTTGGTTTTGAAGTACAATTACTAATTAGAACTGCTTGTAAATAGTGCATTGTAGCGTGAGTAGTGAGTAGGTAGGGTTGTAAGTACCGAGCATTGTAAGTCTTTACATTGTAAACTGAGTAAGTACCTTAGTCTATTGTATTCTAAATATTGTATTGTAAGCAGTGTAAGTATCGTAGTGTTTGTAAGTATTTTTGATTGTTGATTGTTGATTGAATAAATGTTATTAAAGATGAAAAAAAAAATTGAAAATCATTTTTGTGCTCAATTATCTCACTGCTTTAGTATATACTAAAACAATTATTCACCTCAGTGTCGGTGGCTAGCGGTGGAAATTTACCTTGCCACTTCGCGACCTCGGTAAATACAACCACTAGCCACCTCCACTTCGGTGAATAATTGTTATTTATTCTCTCTTTTCTAAACCTGTTGCTTTTTTGCCGTTATCGTTGCCGTCGCCGTCATCGTTGCTTTGCTCCCTAACTAGACTTCCGGACAGTGTGTCCGGTAACCCATGTTGAGAATAACAAGAGACGGAAGTAGAACCATTTTCTCAGTGGATAGCTCAAACGTTTTAAATTTTGAATACATTTTTTCTTAAAGATACGGCGACAAGACGCCGAAGTCTGTAATTGCCCGACTGTTCGCTGTGGTTTGGATAATGATTGGTGTCACCCTCTGCTCACTTTTGGTAGCCACATTGTCTAGAGCTTTGACAAGCGTTACAGTGGAGAGATTTGGTCTGGTCGCACGAATAAAGGTTCGTACAAAATGCAATGAGAATTTCATTTCCTGTCGATTTGATGTTAGCGACGTCCTAACGGGGAAACAAGGATGTCGTAGTGGTGACAGCACATCACACGCCACCCACCAATGTGGCCCGAGGTCAAACCCCGGCGTCTACACCATATATGGGCTGAGTTTGTCGTTGGTTCCTTTCTTCCTTCCCAGAGGTTTTTCTCCTGGTCTTTCACTTTCCCCCTCTCCTTAAAAACCAACACTTCTAAATTTAAATTCATTCTGGAACGAACGGACACTTTTCAACGAGTTCGTAAGAACTCCTAAGCGGTCCTAAGCGCATGTTTCTTGGGTAAACAATAGAGAGCAATGACTCCCCCGCCCCGCATCACGAGCCTCAGCGCTCCGAAAGTTAAAAAATTCGTACCGTCTGGTTGCTATGAAGTGACGTATTCATCCAGTTGAGTATCCATCACCGTAACACTTTTGCGGTCAACTACCGCAGCGCTCGCAAAGTACTTTAATTAAAACCGTGTTCAAAACCCTGTAGGAAGTCTGTTTCATTTTTGAGTCGATTAATGCACTGCTGACTTTCACGAGATCAACTTTTGCATAAATTATCAACCATTATGTTAAGCGGGAAATCTACCTCCCGGGATCTACCTATGGTTCGCGGGAGAAGCAACTTCTATAGCGGCGCAAGACAAATGTTTCGAGAGTCGAGAATGTGCTCACAAACTATTCACTATGCGACGAAAGGAGAAATCACTGGCATGATAGCTGCACGTAATGGTAATTTTATCAATCCAGGTCGCGCCGTGTTCGCGCGAGAACGCTGTAACAACCTCGTTTGGTGCGCTTCTCAATACTTCCAAAACATGTTGTAATCGGCAAGTAGACTTAAGCACTTAGTATCGACAAGCCATCCAAATCAGCGATAACCCAATTCTTTGTCTGAAGATTCTCGCAAACACACATACCAAGTAAATCTGGATGGAAGAGGAAATTTTGAAGGATGGCGGCACAATTCAACGTGTCTTCCAGGTCAGCCCTAATTTATAGTTCGTAAGAGTATAAATTGCGATCTCCCTATTTTCGCTTAAGCTTTCTTTGATTAAACTTCAGTAGAAACAAAACAACGCAGACATGACATTATCCTGCATGAGACACAATCGGCTGAAGGAATATCTGTTTACAAGTCGGGTAAATTATCCATTCTTGCGCACCGCAAAATCAGCTAAAATCAGTCGCTGGAAACCTGGCATATTATTAAGCCTGAGCGCTTCTAAGAATAACACGTTTGGAACTTTGACGCGTAGAAAAAAAAGGCAGTTGCTCTATATCCTTTCTGGTTCATCCAGGTAGAAGTTCTGGCATGATATCATTATGCCTGAGCGCTTCTAGGATATATAACACGTTTAGCACTTCGACCCGTAGCCGTAAAAAAAAAAAAAAAATTAGGCAGTTGTTCTATATCCTTTCTGGTTCATCCAGGTAGAAGTCCTGGCATGATATCATTATGCCTGAGCGCTTCTAGGATATATAACACGTTTAGCATTTCGACCCGTAGCCGTAAAAAAAAAATTAGGCATTTGTTCTACTATCCTTTCTAGTTCATCCAGGTAGAAGTCCTGGTATGATATCATTATGCCTGAGCGCTTCTAGGTTATATAACACGTTTAGCATTTCGACCCGTAGCCGTAAAAAAAAAAAAAATTAGGCATTTGTTCTATATCCTTTCTGGTTCATCCAGGTAGAAGTCCTGGCATGATATAATTATGCCTGAGCGCTTCTAGGATATATAGAACGTTTAGCATTTCGACCCGTAGCCGTAAAAAAAAAAAAAAAATTAGGCAGTTGTTCTATATCCTTTCTGGTTCATCCAGGTCAGAAGTCCTGGCATGATATAATTATACCTGAGCGCTTCTAGGATATATAACACGTTAAGCATTTCGACCCGTAGCCGTAAAAAAAAAATTAGGCAGTTGTTCTATATCCTTTCTGGTTCATCCAGGTAGAAGTCCTGGCATGATATCATTATGCCTGAGCGCTTCTAGGATATATAACACGTTTAGCATTTCGACCCGTAGCCGTAAAAAAAAAAAAAATTAGGCAGTTGTTCTATATCCTTTCTGGTTCATCCAGGTAGAAGTCCTGGCATATCATTATGTTTTGCGCTTCTAGGATATATAACACGTTTAGCATTTCAACCCGTAGCCGTAAAAAAAAAAAAATTAGGCAGTTGTTCTATATCCTTTCTTGTTCATCCAGGTAGAAGTCCCGGCATATTATTATGCCTGAGCGCTTGCAGGATATATAACACGTTTAGCATTTCAACCCGTAGCAGCAAAAAAAATTAGGCAGTTGTTCTATATCCTTTCTGGTTCATCCAGGTAGACGTCCTGGCATGATATCATTATGCCTGAGCGCTTCTAGGATATATAACACGTTTAGCATTTCGACCCGTAGCCGTGAAAAAAAAAAACAAATTAGGCAGTTGTTCTATATCCTTTCTGTTTCATCCAGGTAGAAGTCCTGGCATGATATCATTATGCCTGAGCGCTTCTAGGATATATAACACGTTTAGCGTTTTGACCCGTAGCCGTAAAAAGAAAAAAATAGGTAGTTGTTCTATATCCTTCCTGGTTCATCCAGGTTGAAGTCCGGGCATATTATTATGCCTGAGCGCTTCTAGGATATATAGTAGCAGTTTGACCCGTAGAAAAAACAAAGTCGGCCGTTCATTTTGTAGGAGATATATAAGCGTTTTTGTCTGTGTTAGCAATGTGATCGACTTTAATAATATGTTTTTTTCTTTGACGACACTGCATAATTTTAGCCGAAACCTGAGCCGTACAGTTGTTGAATGCCGCGCTTTTAATTACATTTCTCGCCCTAGAATGATGACATGATGGCGCGAAAATTGACGCCTCTATCGTATTAGATGCGAAATATGATCAGGGATAAATGGAATAGTGAATGTTACAAACTTCTGAGTATCCAGCTGAGATAGGGGACTTTTAGTCCCCTATCTCAGCTAGATAAACAAAATTTTTTTGGTTGCGAAGACGGTGCGGCTGGTTATAAATCCGCCTTGTTTTATAGGTTGGTGCCACAAAAGATAGCATTGGTTTGCAGAAAGCGGTGAATCTTGGTGCGAACGTAAGAGGTGATTGTCTTTTGCTACCAAACTATTCCAGGACATTTCTTTAATTCAAATTTCACTGTGAAAGATGTAAGTTAGGTATACTAGCCGATTTTATTTTATGCGTACTCAGATTTTGAGGACCTTGATGAGGCCTACAAGGCTTTGATCAATGAAAAGTCGATAGAAGGAGTGATGGAGGAGGTGTTCACAGCCATGGAATATATCAAGAAAAAGAACAATCCATTGTTTTCTGTTGTCCATTTCTTTGAAGAGAAGCATGGCTATGGTGTGGCATTCAAAAACAATCCTTTTGCGGGAAACATTATACTGGACAACTGCATCAGGGATGTTGTCCAATTTGTAGTCAACGATGATAAATATACTGTTATTACCAAGTTCGTTGGTAACATCGAGGTATGATTTCTAGTTCAGTCATTTCAATTATACGATACAAAACCCAGCACTGGTGGTATTCAATTGATCAAACCTATAAAAATATTTTATTCTAAACTAATCCTCCGAATTCATCAACCCAAGTGTATCGTAGATTAAACTGGTTGAAAATCCTACTAGTATCACGTTATCATCACGTCTTTACAAATCCTTTTGTTTTTTTTTCTAGCCTCGTGAAAATCCTTCCTATTTGATCTCGAAGTAAATGAAAATTTCCTTTTTCGGACTAAATTAATGCGCATTATTTTTCAGGTGAAACTATCAATGGGAAATCGCCAGATGAGAAACGATATTTTGGGTTTTTAAAAACTTAATTTGTATGGAGTGCCTATTACAGTGCAGAACGGAATGTAACAATTAGAAAGTGCACCATTTTAGAGCGTTATGTTAATTACTATAGAGTCCTTTAAATTGCAACGACTGTTTAGGAAAGAGACATTGTCTCGCCTCCAGAGAGTCCAGAGAAGACTCTTTGTCTCCCACCCCCGCCATAATCGAAGAGAAGACCCCGTGGGCTAGGCCCAGTCAATCATCTTCCCGCGCAGGGTATATTCAGCTGAGGACACCGGATAAGTTGTCAGCCAATTACAGTCGCTGGTATATCTGCGTCATGTACTGTTCTTTGCTTGTATAGTCTGTACTACAATCATATGCTCTAAAGAGCCAGCTATAGTATTTATATTAAATAAAAAGAGAAATAATGTTTAGAGCTATTACTGAGGACAGTATTTAGGGATACAACGAGCTGTAACACCTGAAAATAAATATAGCACCGCACTATTAACAGGTGTAAAAGACAAATATTACCTAAAGCTTTTTAAAAGAAATGTTCAAGTTATTGTGGAATCATAGGCATGGAATAGCATTCTGGTAGAAAAAATATATAAATTACGTGTTGTTTTCAAAGCCATAGAGTACTTTTCTTTTACTAAGAGGTATTAATACCTGCTTTCGTATGCGTTATATTAATATTCTTCTTTACAGACTTTAAATGCGTTGTGGGCTGGATCTCGACAAAAGTTTAATGAATGTACATTTAGGCGTTCAAAAGGGGAAAATTTAGTAAATTTGTTATATGTTTTTTAACTGAAAGCTAAACCACCAAAACGCTAATATTGGCAAAATAGTTCTTGTTCAGGTAAGAATTCTCCTTTTCTTTTATCTGTTCTCTCTACAGACCTGCAAGTTGGTAGAGAAAAGGTAAAGTTCAACAAAATAAATTCAGGTAAATCAACAAAGAACTAAAACGCTACGCTCAGAGGAGCAGATCTAGAAAATTCAGAAAGGGGCGGCTGCGTGGCACACTTGCAGCTAACATAGTATTTATTTTACGTCCTGAGAATTCTTTAAAAATGTAATACAAAATTTTACAGAAAAAGGGGTGGCAGCGGTCCACTCAGCCGACCCCTGAATCTACTTATGGCTCATTGGTTAAATATTTTCAACACTCGAAGAGAATTCCTTTCTCCTCGCGGCCGTGCGATATCCTCAAAACAAACCAAGGAAATCCAAATTATATATTGTTTAAGAAAAGTAAACTGTGGCAAGATGATCATTTTATTGACATGTCAGTTTTTATGTTTAAACGCCATATACATATTAACACTACCTGTTTTGTATAGTTCCTGAGATGCTGACTACAGTCCTGATCAAAAAAATGCCATTACGTGATGGTTATATGCAAGTGGTAGTTTTTCTTAAATCGGTGTATTTTCTCTTAAGAACTCTAAGTGCATACAATCTAAGGACCGAGTGCTATTTCAGTACCTAGTCAATGGCTGTACTTCTGTTTAAAAAGCTAAAAAGAATTCTCCTAGATGGACCTTGTGTTGCGTTAGAGCTTTGGCTTCAAAGTAGAGAAGGCCATTTCCACTTTGCCGGAATCAAGAAAACTTTCCTTGGGAGCTGTAGAATTAAACAGGAAACTTATTTTTACACTTTTCTACTCCTCAATGGTAAAGCAGTATGTGATATGCCATATCAAACTGCTTTTTTGCAGTGAAATGACTGAGATGGCATATCGACTTAACCCTCTCCTAACCAGATGAACAATAATAATAGTAACAATAATAATAATAAATAAACAAATAAATAAATCTACAGAATACTGTGATATGCTACAAATATACGTAACCACTAAATTAGATTTATGTACTCCGCAATGGTGAAGTGAATAAAATGTCATAACGGAATCAAACCTGCTCTACTGCGTGTAAAAATTCTATATCTACAAAATTCTGTGATATCATGAAAGACGTAATATGAATCAAAATTTAACCCTCTTGCTGACCAAGTTGATGACGAGGGAGAGAAGGAAGAATTACTGGGTAAATACCTCAATACACTTACTTAACCCTGACACCGCCCTATAACCTCGTTGGCTAGATTTGCAGAACCTGGTACAGCCTGACCTAGCGAGTTATCAAGTGAGTATCATGCCTTGACATAAATTACATTATGTCTGCCATAATGTCTAGTTTTTCGTAATTTAATAGGAAAGGATTAAAGGTGCATTTGATGATGTTTTATTAGGGAGCTTAAAAGGACACGTTTACGGTTCAACGCATGCTCATTTGTCAAAATGCTGTTTTTCTGCAGGGACATGCTGTATGATCACGTCATCATGATGTCAAAGAACCAATCTGCACACTCCCCTGGCAGTCACTTGCACTTGATCAACTTAAATATTTGCAAATAGCTGTAAATTAATGAACCATGGGATAAAAGCTTCGGGTCAACAATAAATTCAACGTTGGTAGTGTTGGCATAATCCACTCTAATTTTTTCTGCGATTTTAGTACTCCCCCATCCTACTTCAGTTTACTCTGAATACAATTCTACTTTAAAAAACACTCTGAGATCGCTGAAATACAAGTGAGTGGGATTATTAACCGATAGAATTAATAATAAACTGGAAATAATTTAATTAATGAGCATGCGCTCACCCGTGAACCTGTCGCTTTAAAGCAATCACGACCACGATAGCAGTCAAAAAACTTCACTAAATATGCAGAATTTGTGTCCTCTCAAATTTTATCTTGTTTATTTAGCATCTCGCAAAAAAAATTCAGAAATAAAGACCTAGAAAGAAAAAAATTCGTCGCTGGGGATTCACGTCCTCTATAAAACGTTGCGTTAAGAAGTGAAAAAAAGTGCCGAAAAGTGTAATGCACGTGCAGGGTTGTTGCTTTTTTTACACATAAAACCGTTTCTTTTTTGACATTCTGGCTCTCCGCGTCTTCGTTTTGGCTGCTTAAGTTCCTTATTGATTGGAATCCAAGTAGGAACCCGCCCCTAAAACTCTCTCCACAGAGGTCCCCTTGAAAAGATAGAGCGAAGGGAACGTCGGGAAGGGAGAAGAAAAATCTCCTCTATGCGCTAATTATTGATGTAACTGAGGCATTTCATAAGTTGTCACGTGACTGAATGTTTGCCTCTGAGGAATGAATGTTTGCCTCTAAAGAAGAGAGGGCCTGGGAGCTGGTTTGATGAAACCTACTACACTTAATTGTTAGCCTCTTTTTCCTGCGCTTTGCAGCACACGTCTCGTAAACGAAACCTGCTGTCAACAGCGTGACGAAGGTTGTCATCATTGCGTGAAGCGCAGTCCAAAATCCAGGCGATTTTCCATCCAGTAACGTCACAACACTGTCTGTATCTTTATCTGATATCTGACGGCTCTTGGTTTCGGTCTAAAGAGAGGTTGAAATGAAAACAAAGGAAGTCTGCTTAATTTCTTTCTCTTAAACCTGAAGACTGCTAGTACTTCTTGAAGTTTCGAAACCGCATATTTTGAACGAATCCAGTGAATGCAGCATGTGAGTGTGTCTCCTCAATCTTTTCTTTTCTACTGAGCATCGCTCCAGGCATTCTATTTTGCCACTCTTTACCTTAAACTTCACGAACACAAAACTATGTCAGTTTAGCAGATAAAGGGAGTGACCCGGTGGTCCAAAAAGTTCCCCTCAGATTTTTCAAAACCACCTCAAGCCACTAGTGGCATCATACAGGAGCCGATTATCCCTGCTGCAGATTATTATCATTAATATTAATATTATTATTACTTCCTTAGACGCATTTTGGCAAAAGTTAATCACAGAGTACAGGAGCCCAGCAGCCTGTCTCTAAGGCTAAGACATATGACGTAATAGGTGGCATTACGTCAAGCTATCCAAATCAAATCATCGCTTGTATATACATATTTTTCGTACTGACTTTGAGGGAGCCAATCGAAACACGAGGAAATTAATATCCATTGATAGCCTTATCTGACTTTAGACGCAAAGACTGAACCTGAATATGTGAATGCCTAAAACTCTCTGATCTTATCAAGATTTTAATCGACAAATTTTTCCATGACATTTCAAATCAGGAATCATCAAAGACCGGAACTTGCTTTTTGTTCTAGCTTTTAAAACTCTGTTAAGTAGCATAGTTGACGAAATAACTCCTCCTTGCTTATAAATACCATGATATTAGCCCACTGATTTGACTGAATGCTAATTAAACGTGACTTACATGTAATGCTTGCGTGTGTCGAAGGATAATTTTTTTAATGTCTCGCTGTCGATATTTAAACAAATCCCTAAGACACGCAGAATGAGACTTAAAATCTTGTCTTCCAAATGCAAATCCGATTGAGCGCTGAGAAGTAAAAAACATGGTGACTGCTAACCGAGAGTCTCCCACTTTGTCCATGTAGTAAGAAGCTGTGTAGATGTCCGCCAAGATTCCCTCTACCTCTTCTTTTACCACGAGTGCATCGTACATTTCGTGAAAGCTGGTATAATCTGCAGCATAGGAAATAACTAAGCGTTCATGAGTCAGGTTGCATTCCAAATTAAATACTAGAAATGTGCTGTTAATCCCTCTACGTTGGAAAGCGCTCTTTCGAGTAAATATGGTTTGCTATGGTGCAAGTGTATGCAGGTAGCCATTCACGTGGTACAAAACCGCCGTGTTGGAGAGCAAAAGTCGCACTGGGACAAGACAAACAAAAGGCATACATAATTTTAATTGGTAATTTCCTTTGCTTGTCTCGTCCCAGTAAGGAAGGCTTTTGCTTTCCAGCATGACGGTTTTGTACCACGTGAATGGCTAGCTGCAAAGGGCGTATTGGTAGTTGACACCCTTCTTGAATTTAATTTAAGTTCCGTTTACTTGGTCAGGCGATTTAAGCAACCTGGAGGACTTTTGTCTAGTAGCCCAGTAGATTACCCCCTTTAATTTGAATATAGTCTGATATGTAGATGTTTTTATCCCAATTTCGGCGACAAAATCCTTGGCTTCTACCATCTAATGAAACCTGCGAGGGGCAGAACTTTTGCGTAGAATTATAGATGTCTTAGAATCTTGCAAAAATGTTTTTAGAATTCTTTTCCAATATCTTAACTGGCCATTTTAAAGGGTAAGATTTGATTATCTGACGATAAACGTAATAAACTACAAGTGTTGTTTAATTCTCATTTTGAAGTAAATTATTTTTTCTAATGTATACACGGATAGGTATGGCTTTTTTTGCTACCTGCGACCCCCGGGGAGCTTCTGATGTCCCCCGCCTATAACTTCAAACCGCTCATTCTACGGCCACCAAAATTACACTGAATAACTTACTCATTATTTCCAACGTCTGGGCAAAGCTTGATTGACGCAATGACTAAATTTGTCGTCACTATGTTGTCATATTTTTGAATTTATTGCCAGGATTTAATTTTCCCTCGAAGTAGCCGTACAGCGAAAAATACTTAAGTAGTAAGATGTTTCATAAGATCGAAAAGTTGGTTAACACTGATCTACAATCTTAACAATAGCAGTGATGCCATGATGACGTCATTTATTGGTAAAAAAAAAAGGAACTGGAACCATCCACAACCACCCGCCATCTCGTGGATTCCCGCCATTTTGACTCAATTTAATTTATTCCAGTTTTACTTAAAACTCGTATGAATCGAGATAGCCGTCGGAGAAACTCTGACCTGTGTATAAAAAGATGCTTAGGAAGCAAAAAATCTGTAAGTCATGAAATTTGTAGAACACTGTTGAAAATTCAGTGAACTTAGCATCTGCGAGCATCTGCAATTTGGTCTTTTTGAATTCACGTTTTTTTCAAATCAGTTCATTATAAATCCTGGATTACATTTATTAATAGTTATAATAAATTTGTTAAAATGACGTAAAGCTAAGTGTAATACAATAAATAGACTGAAGTGAAACTTTTGGCAGAACAAAAGCAGAATTTTGAAAGATATGGCTGTCAAAACTCGAATCCATGGTAATGTCAATGATGACGTACACGTCACAATATTCCCAGATAAATTTTGGATAAAGTCGATAAGTTTGGCGGTCATAGCTTGCACAGTTTTGAAAGCTATTTAACATTTTAGTCGGGGGAGGGTGGGGAAGGGAGAAGGGGACTCAAAAGACCTAAAAGACCACCCAGTCTGAAAAGGGTTAACGACTTTTACCTTTGACGTTGGCAGCCTGCTTTAAAGCCTCCTCGTATGCATGACTGTCTTCCAATACTGCAACCTGGGTGAACTTCAAAAGTTAGCTGAGTATCTTAACATTACTGAACTCAAGGAAGCCTTGTGAGATATAGAGCACAATAGTGGATGTGCATTCGATAGTTTCCAAGATGACAAGAGAGAATGATTACCGATGATTAACATTACTTGATGATGAGGGATATTTTAAAAGAGGTTTCAAAGACATAATAGGACAAATTACTCCCTGTGAGAGGTTTCTATTAAGGATCTACGCACGCCACGCCAATAAATTTATTTGTTGCTTTGTTGGCATTTATAATGTTAAGAACCTTTCCAATATTTTCTTTGGAGGCAACAGTTAACCCTATTCAGACCGGGAGGAGGGGTCGCAAAAAAAAGTTGAATAACTTCAAAATCGTTCAAGCAGTGACCACAAAACTTATCGACCTTTTCCAAAATTACCTTGGGAACATTTTAAAGTAGTTGTGACGTTACAATGGCAAGCAAGTTTTGGCATCCACGTTTTTTTCAAAATTTGCAGCTTTTTTTCTTAAAAATAGGTTTTAAATCTAATTTTCCCAATGCAATTATTATATTACACTTAAATTAGCATTATTTTATCAAAGTTATTGTCACTGTTGAGGAAATCCAGGCTTTTTGTGACTAGTTTGATGGTAAGTTTAATTTTCAACAGTGCTTAGTTCTCTCGGAATTGCACATTTTGTAATTTTTTTTGCTTCCTAGGCATCCTTTAATACTCAGATCAAGTTTTCTCCTAAACATTCCTCGATCTATATGGGTTTTAAGCAAAATGGAATACATTTAAATGTTAATTGGAAATGGCGGATCCAAGATGGCGGATGCCTCCAGTTCCTTTTTTTGGTATAAATGACGTCACCATGACATAACTGCTTTTGTTGAACGTTATTTATATTTTAGCCAACTTCTTGACTTTCTTTAACACCCTACTGTTTAAGCATTTTTCCGGCTGTATGTGTACTTCGAGGGAAATTTGGATTCTGCCTATAAATTCAATAAGAATCAAGTTATCCCCAAACGTTGGCAATGATGAGTACATTGTTCTGTGTAATTTTGGTGGGCATAGCACGAGCAGTTTTCAGACGTTATAGAGGGGGATCCTCTGGAGCCCCCCCCCCCTCCCCCAGGTCGCAGGAAGCGAAAAAAAGCACGGTCTGAATAGGGTTAAATGTAAATACCAAGAATGAAAATACATTCTGAAAAATTCACTGCCTTAAGGCTTTGAGCGTTATACAGTTCGTTGAATGAAAGAAAAAAAGAAAAATTAATTGCCTTGAATTAATGCATCTTGCGAAGCGATTCCTGTTAAATACTTTGATGTTTCAAGATTCAGCCTTTTGGAAATTTGTCTAATTATATTTCATGACTGCAGATATTTTTTTCATATTTAATTTAACTATTGTTGCGGCGTTTTGAGTGCGCGCGCTTTCTTACTGATGGTGATGATGTAGCCTGCCTAGCTCGCGGTTTTAGCAGGCAAGTGTTGTCGGTTTATTCGGCGGTAGAGCCGCTAGAAGATTGGGAGCCAATGAAATTGTGAACGCGCATAACAACAGAGACCTTCAGGTTCGAGGACGAGAATAACTACGAGTACGACATTTGATTTAAAGTTTTTTTTCGCGCATTGTCAAAAAATAGACACCCCGGAAAGCTTTATTTCATTTTTTTTTTCAGCAGAAAAGTTAGGACAGCTGTTATCTTTTATTGTGGAGGTCAAACCCTCTCCTGATCGCAAAATGATAAAACTTCTAAAATTTGTCAACTTGTATTCGCCACTCCGACATTCTCGCTAAAACTCGTAGTAGAATGATGACGCCTGTATCACGTTTTCCCGCCAAAATGACGCTGGTTCACGCGCAAATTAGAACCGTATATTGAGTAAATCTCGTACTCGTAGTCGTCCTCGTCTTAGAGTCTAAAGGTCTCTAATCCCGCCAGCAAAAAAGGACTAGGGATGATGATGCTGACCTTCACTCCCAGCAGAGAATTACGATGTAGCATGGATGATGACGTCAAAGCACTTGTGAAAGTGGCGGTGAAAAACGAGCAAAGAATAAGGCCGGTAAGAATCCACAGGATGCCAAACAACCGTGCGGGCGGTGACTTTGGAGTCCTATCACCATACCTGTATCCAGAGAGGAACTCCCATAAGGTGAAATTCCACTACTGTCGCGAAGTTTTTACGTGCGTACGCTCGTTAATATTACTGGGTACATGAAATAGAGGTCATGTATGGAGGGTCGCGCGTAAACGTAAAAGTTGAACGTTGCTTAACTTTTACGTTTACGTGCGCCCTTTCAAAGATCGCCTCTCTTATATTTGCGCACGTAAATTTTACGCGCGTACCGCTACTTTAAAACTACTTACCATTGGAAATCCACCTTAGATCAAACGTTAAGTATTGCTTACATAATACAGGTTTTGATAAAAATTTCCAAACGCGTCATAAAAATTGGACCTATAACGTAACTAAAAACTCAAAAAATACCATTATGGGTAAAATGGACTGTCCCTGGACTGTCCAAATTCATACAAAAACATACTTCACAAAAGAGCTAAAAGCATTACTTTTATATAGCTTTTTATTTTTAGTGGCGATTTTCCCTTTACCCTTTCGTATTTCGTTCCGCTTCGTTCAGTTATTATTTCTGACTATCGGAAGTAAACAACGGACTATCCGTGGTAGTACTTTGAATAAACGAATTTTAAGCATGTTGAGTTTGGACATACCTAAAGGTGCAATTACGTTCCAGTAAGCTGGATCTGGATTTATATAACACATAAGCAGTTGGTCATTTATTATGGCGATAGTCGAGAAATTACACGACTTAGATGAGGCCAGGCATCGTGCTTAACTATTAACTTAACTATTCTTACCCAACTGTTGTCATGCTCACGAAAGACCACCAAATTCCCTCCATCACGCCTCGTGTGAAAGAGCCTGGAAAGTGATCAGGATTTTTAGATGTATCCTGTAAGTTAAAGTAAATAATATGAAAAAATTTAACGAACCCTTTATTTACAGAAAATGTCAAATTAAATATTTTTCCAATGAATCAAGCTTTTCACAGTGTAAAATTTGGAAGAAATTACAATTTTTTAGTTTGCTTCCTAACTACAGTAGGACCCCGGTAACACGAATTCGGATAATTCGAACTCCCCGCTAAATCGAACTAAGTTCCATTTCCCTTGGATTTGTCCCTACCTTTCGGTCACTTCTACTCGAATAACTCGAATTCCTCGCTAAATCGAACTAAATTTCGTTTCCCTTCATCAAAATTTCACTGAGATTTACCCCAATAACTCGAATTCTGGTTCTTGCAACTCAGCACGACTGCCATCTCTACAGCGCTTCTTGCCATGCAATCATAAAACACCCAAAACTAACCCTACACAATTTGTTTTAAACAAGAACGCGCTTACAGCGGCATTCCGTCTCACTTGTTTGGAGATTAGATCGAGAAATGAGGAGGCGATTAATTGTACACGAAACAGGATTTACTCGCTAAAGGTTTTTTACTTCCTACTTTATCGACATCGATACTTTTTATTTGTCTCCGAACGGATTTAATTCGCGAGTTAGCGACGACCGGAAATACGTCTGCGGTCGCAGGCTATACGCGTGTATAAATACACGAAAATTCAAGAGCCTCGATTCCAGAGAAATTACATCATTGCCAGAGATCAAAAAAGTAATTTACATGCAACGTCATTTTAATCATCGACGAAAATAAACCGTATGCTCATCACAAGACCATTTGCATACAATGAAAGTTTACAACACCCGACCATCGCAGTTTTGCCAATTAAGAATTTTTTTCCGACTACTCAGTAGTGTTCACTTGTTCCAAAGTAATCAACGCTTTCAAGTGATCTTTCCTAAACATGCGTGGCTTCGATCACGCAACGATTCTGAGTCCCAGCCTCCAAGGTCTCCGCACGGAACGCCTGGCACAATGACCCCCTATTTGTGGATAAAATACGACTAAACCCTCGGGGGGGTACTTCAAGAAAAATTGGGTGGGGGCGTGCGGCACGCTTCCCGAAACTCTTACCCTATTTCAGAACAAAATCTGTGATTTTCACTACCCTATTTCAGACCTGATCAAAAATTTGTTACTCTATTTCAGACCTGAAGCCCTGGAGCCCGGCGCGTGACCGGAACGCGAGACAAGCTGTTACGGCACGTACGCGGTTGGCGAAGAAGTAGCTTCTTCTAAAAGAAAACATACCCAATTCAAGACTAGAGTGCAAAAACCATATCCTATTTCAGACCAAAATGGTCGAAATTGATACTTTATTTCAGACCAAAACGGCTAAAAACCATACCCTTTGGCGCCGGCCATACCCATATAGCCCATATAAGGGAGGTACCCCCCGGGGCGAAAAACGCATTGCAGATTATGAGTCTCGCTGCCTACGCAAGCGAGACTAATTAGTGCAACGAACAGATCACGCATTTGCAGTCATCCATTTCCATGTATTATCATAAAAATGCCTAAACGTGTTATAAAATTTCTGAGGAGTCACTTAATTTGCACTCTGCTGTATATTGATGTGCTGAAATACAAGTAAACTATAAAACATGGTAAATCGAAGATTCAGTCGACCCCGATGACTCGATCCCGCGCTAAAACAACTCGAACTAGTACCGTTTTTCGTGTCCCTTTAGAGTTCGAGTTACCGGGGTTCTACTGTATTGCATTAAAATACAACTTCATCTTTAAAGAGTTCTTAATTTACGCGAAAAACAGTGAAAGGAACTTGGAAAAGACAAGAGTGTTCTTAACCATGTCATTACTGAAACGTAAGGTTCCCCATCCTTTCGTGATAGCTTGTCAGCTAGGTTTTTCAGAATCGAAATAACTAACATTCAGCTCCCATTCCGTGATTCGTACCAAAAACCAGAGAAGTAAAATTCCCCATTTTCACGTCAAGGACACGCTGTTGACACGCTCTTCCGGTTCCCTTGTTTTTTAAAGATTGTAGCAGTTGGCTTGTTTTGGCTTTCGAGCTAACATGCGTTCCTCGAGCATCGGACAGTATTTATATTAGTAACGAAAGGGTAGGAGCAATATCAGTCTGAAGGCGATGCATTTGGGAAATATTGAAGACTGGGGGAAGAGAATAAAAAGAAATATTGTAAATAAAAAAAAGAGAGAGAGAGGGAGGAAGCACCATTGCAAAATTGTTGTTTAAAAAGGTCGTTGGATAAGTTTAAACATTACGATTCCCAGATGAACAAAACGTGCTCTTAAGTACTAGCTGAAATTAAGGAAACAATATAATCGTTTTTTTCAGCGCATATAAGTTTTCAGGTTTTATTCTAGTATTGATTTAACAGGTGCAATGGAAAATATGCGTTTTTAAACGCACCTAAACTTAAACGAACCAAGCGGCGCCGACTAGTCGACAGTGTTCGTTTTCATACGCTTGAAAAACGTTTGTGACCCAGTCGTTAAGTATAAATAGCGGAGAACGATATTGGTTTCGTATCAGTATTCAGTTCGGTGCAAAAAGCAATATTTTAGCTTAACTTAGAATCACGATTCTCAGTTTCTGCGCATTTCTCTCAAGATGTCAATACGAAAGGGCTTAAAAAAGGAACTCTTAACTTGGTTGAAGCCGTTCACCCCTTAGCTCAGTTAGCTCACTGTAAACAACGCGTTTTATTGGTTTCTTTTTTCAAATTATCCTTTTAAGGATGCCCCGATATTGGTGGCTAAATCTAAAGCTTACTCTAGGAAACCAGTCTTTAACTTCTTTAACCGGTAATACTTGTCAATTTAAATTTTAAAGGTACCTCTTTCAGGGCCACGATAATCGATTTAAATTCCTAATCCTTAGATGCGGAAGTCGGCGAACTGAAAGCTTCGGCTAAATCCAGAATAATTGGTTTCATCTCTTAAAATGACTTCTTTTTAATTTCTGTCGCTTTAGATTTTCGTCTCTGCAACATAAACCATGATTATGACAAAAAATACTGTTGTGAAAAACAGTTTTACAATCGGCTAAGGTACTAAAGAGATCTGCCTCACGTCTCTCGTCAAATTTGTTTCCCCAACCATTCATGATTTGCAAATTTAATACCTAATCTATAGAATAACCGATTTTGACAAGTCCTCCATCCACGATTACAATACAAGATAAAAGACTCCAAAGGGGCTTTTCTCTCCATATTACCACCATAAATTAACATATTTACCTTCCGTTTACTGAAGTAAATAAAATCTGTCTGGATCATTTTTTCAGTTATCAAAATTATGCACACTTACCAGTCCCCAGATTAAAATCCCAGCAAATCCTGCCAAAAGTACGGTTAAAATAATAACAGGCCAGGTATCTTTCATGGCTTGTAAGACGCGCTTTCGTAGATGTTTTAATGTTTGCTGTTTATCCACTATGAAAACAACACCTGGCGATTTCAAGACCTCCACATACGTATGCCCTCCGTAAGAACCATCTCCGCTTCCTTGCACGGGTAGCGCCAGATCAGCTTCTTTTTTCACAATGGTTTTATCAAGCTGTTGTAGATTACTAGCTTTTTTCGTGAAGTTGATTTTAGTAAGGGGTATTCCAACGCAAATCTGAAGTCCCTTCGACACAATTTCCTGAAAGATGCCTGTCACTCTGAATCCAGTCGGATTGCCATCTTCGTCTTTGTTTTCCTGTTTACTTTCTTGGTTAATGCCACTGTTATCGTTCGTTGCGTTCATTGCTTCTCCTGGCTGTGACGAGTTATAGCTAGTTATATTTTCGCTCTTTTCTAATGGCTCTTCGTCAAACATGACATAAGGCGGGTTTTCCATCCAAGAGATAACTACTGAGTCTGGTGGTGGTTCTGGTAAACTGAACTCTCCACGTAAACCAGGATAAGGTGGGATTGGTGGAGTACTGTTAGCTTGGAGTTCATTCAAAGGAGTCACACCCAGGAAGTCTATCTCGAACGCAGCCGAAAAGCCAATGGATGGCACTAACAGGAAAACTACCAACCGTGTTCTTATACACAT